AGGCGCAGCGCTCTCTCGCTCCGACGCGCTGTCTCCCGTCGCAGACGCCACCGTCGCCGCCTCTCTCGTCGGAGACGGGAGCAAAACACAGAGAATCGGGGCTACAAAGCCGGTGGGCAGGTTTGGCTACGCTCAAACCCGGCAGTGCCGCGGTTTAGGCGTCTCCTTCCTTCCCAGCGACTGCACAAAATGGCGGCCGCAGCTGAGTCGGCTCCAACTTAACGCTACGTACGGCGGAGACGATACGTAAACAGCGTCTCGGAATAGCCCGAGGGCTCCGCGGGGAACTACGGGTATTCTTGGAAGCGCTTTACGTCAGTTGCGACGATCGGCGTATTTTGCGGTCTGTACAAGAAAAACAAAGTACGGAGCGAGCGTAGAGTTCTCGCGCCACCTGAACTAGAACGTGGGGTGCGGTGGGAGGAAGCGCCTCTGGTGCGACGTAACATTCTTTGCGTCGTTAGCCGGCCCGCTGTTGCGAAGATGCGCAGTATGCGTAACGCATTCTGTTTAGAGAATAGAGGATTTTGCCTGATTCCGATCTCGGGACAGACCCCGCGGCCGGCTTGTGGCAGTTACTTTGCAGAGACAATAACCGTCCTCCATATTGTTATCAAGTTTCAGGGTCTCCTGGTGCCAGAAGTCGGGAGGGTCTTAAGTTCCCTGGCTGGCCTTCCTACATGGGGCCGGCAGCCCTCTCGCCCCGCAGCCCTCGGCCCGCTGAGAATGGCGGCGGGCCCCGGCGCCATTTCCTTTCCGTTGCCTCTCGCTGTTCTGTCTCCGGCAGCCATGATGGATGCGCCGTGTCCCTTTCTTTCGGGAGTTTATGAGGTGGCGATGTCCGCTCCAGGTTAAAGGGTCCTCAGCCACACTTGGTTCACACCGAGGTGCATTTTCTGAACCATGTATTTTCACCGTCTTTGGCCGAGCTCAGCTGTTGCTAATACAGAAACAAAATGTGCTTGGAGGCCGGGCACGGTGGCTCACGCTTGTAATACCAGCACTTTGGGAGGCCGAGGCGGGAGGATCACCTGAGGTCTGGAGTTCGAGACCAGCCTGGCCAAAATGGCACAACCCTGTCTCTACGAAAAATACAAAAATTAGCAGGGCATGGTGGCGGGCGCCTGTAGTCCCAGATACTTGGGAGGCTGAGGCAGAAGAATCGCTTGAACCCGGGAGTCGGAGGTCGCAGTGAGCCGAGATCCTGCCACTGCACTCCAGCCTGGACGACGGGGCGAGACCATGTCTCAAAAAAAAAAAAAAAAAAATTGGTTGGAGCCCCAGTGGACTCCGTGGGCACTTTGCTGCCGTTAAACGGCGCTCCTCAGAAGGTCCGGAGAAGACCCCAGCACTCTCGGGAGAACAAGGTTTCAGAGTAATGGTCTTTAGATGCATAAAAAGTGAAAGCTAAGGACAAGTGTTTAACCAGGCTAGCCCACATTCTCCGCTCAATTCCTTCCAGACTGGCTTCCCTCTCCTTACCTGCTTCCTGTCCTCTCAAACTGCATTTTAAAGCCCCGCAAGCTTGGCCAAATGGCGTCACACAACTGTTGAGCTGTTAGGGCCCTCGAGACGAGCCCATCTAACGTCTCAATTCAACAGATGGCTAGAAGCGGGGAGATGTGGCCTCTCAGTGTGGGTGCTGAGTGTTTCCCAGATTATTGGGAACATAGCATTAAAAAAGGAGCTTCAAAAAGGCCCTTGAGGCCAGGCAAGGTGGCTCACGCCTGTAATCCCAGCACTTAGGGAGGCCGAGACAGGCAGATCACCTGAAGTCAGGAGTTAGAGACCAGTCTGGCCAACACGGTGAAACCCCGTCTCTACTAAAAATGCAAAAAGTAGCCAGACGTGGTGGCGTATGCCTGTAATCCCAGCTACTCAGGAGGCTGAGGCATGAGAATCGCTTGAAACCGGGAGGCGGAGGTTGCAGCGAGCCAACTGCACTCCAGCCTGGGCGACAGAGCGAGACTCTGTCTCAAAAAACAAAAGCCGTTGAGATGTCAGTTGCCCCGGAAACACAAAGAGACAGTCACGGACTCACTGGTCAAGGGTGGAATGACTAAAAGGCCAGGCACTGTGCCAGGTAGGCACTGGGTCAAAGTGGTGAACAAGTTCCTGCACTCACAGATTTTACACTCTAGGAGGGAGACAAAAAGTGTTTATGTCAAGCAGTTGCTAACTAAAATGAAAGCAAAGAAAAAGGGAAAAGAGAGAATGCATATGTGCATGTGAAGGAGCAGAGTATGCAGGTTACACAGTGTTGCATTGGGGTCTCGGGAGGCCTCCCTGATCCAGTGACATCAAAGCACAGACCTAAAGTGAGGTATCTAGCCTTGCTGACAGAGGAAAGAGCAAGTGCGAAGGCCGTGAGGCCGAGTGTGGCTGAAGTAGGACAAGGAGGAAAGACTGAAGAGGACTGTATCCTGAAGGGCTTGTAGGCGGCTGTAAGGCCTTTGTCTTTTCTTTCCAGTAAGGTGGAAACCTCTGGAAAATTTTAAGCGAAGTGGCATAATAAAAGGACCCCTATGACTGCAGTGTGAATAAATTCAGAGTGAGGGAGGGCAGGAGCAGGCAGATTAAAAAGAGGCAAGTGCAGTCATCCAGGCAAGAGATGATGAGGATTGCGAAGGGTTAATAGGGTCAATAAAAGAACATGACCCAGGGCGGGTGCGGTGGCTCACGCCTGTAATCCCAGCACTTTGGGAGGTCGAGGTGGGTGGATCATGAGGTCAGGAGTTCAAGACCAGCCTGGCCAAGATGGTGAAACCCCATCTAAACTACAAAAATTAGGCAAATGCGGGAGCAAGCACCTGTGATCCCAGCTACACGGGAGGCTGAGGCAGGAGAATTGCTTGAACCCGGGCGGCAGAGGCTGCAGTGAGCCGAGATCGTGACACTGCACTCCAGCCAAAGAAAAAGAAAAAAAAAGAATATGACCCAGGCGAGTCTCAATCACTTTAAGAGGTTCATTTGCCAAGGTTAAGAACGCACTTGGGGAAAAAGAACACAGAACCACAGAAAAAGCAGCGGTCCATGTTTCTTTTCTGAGAAGAGTCTGGGGAACCTCAATTTTTAAAGGGAAGAAAGGAAAAAAAGCAGGTATAGGGAGGGTAGATAAAAGAGGTAAGCAGTTGCATTCTTCCGAGTCTTTTTTGTTGATGTTGTTGATTTCTTTCATCAAGGTGTTTTGTTTGTTTTGTTTGGTTTTGGTTTTTTGAGACAAAATCTTGCTCTGTTGGCCAGACTGGAGTTCAGTAGCATGATCTGGGCTCATTGCAACCTCTGCCTCCCAGGTTCAAGTGATTCTCCTGCCTCAGCCTCCTGAGTACCTGGGTTTACAGGCGCCCACCACCACGCCCGGTTAATTTTTGTATTTTTAGTAGAGATGAGATTTCAGCATGTTGGCCAGGCTGGTCTCAAACTCCCAACCTCAGGTGATCCACCCGCCTCAGCCTCTCAAAGTGCTGGGATTACAGGCTTGAGCCACCACACCTGGCCTTTATCATCAACCTTTATTTTAAGTTCTGGGGTACATGTGTAAGATATGCAGGTTTGTTACACGAGAAAACGTGTCATGGTGGTTTGTTACACAGATCAACCCCTTGCCTAGGTATTAGGCCCAGCATCCATTAGCTATTCTTCCTGATGCTCTCCCTCCCCCAACCCCCAACAGGTTCCCGTGTGTGGTGTTTCCCTGCTCCATGTGTCCATGTATCCTCTTCTGAGTCTTTGATTAGTCTTCACGGATGCTTTCTGCTCATGCTCAGTTAATTTGCATTTTCACATAAGATAAAATAATCATAGAGCAGAGGGCAGCAGTCAGATATGTGTTTGTCTCAGGCGAGCAGAGGGATGACTTTTTAGTTTTGTCCTTTGTCCTGTGCTTGTGATGATAAACCATCCATGTACATTGTCAGGGTGAAATTCCACATAACTGTTTTGGTGTAAAGATCTTGGAGGCCCACAAGGAATTTCTTTGTGGGCAAATTGTGAGAGGCCTATTTAGCTTTTTTTTTTAGAGACAGTCTCACTGTCGCCCAGGCTGCAATGGTGCGATCTCGGTTCACTGCAACTTCCGCCTCCTGGGTTCAAGCAATTCTCCTGCCGCAGCCTTCTGAGTAGCTGGGATTACAAGCACGTGACACAAAGTTAATTTTTATATTTTTAGTAAAGACTGGCTTTTGCCATTACTGACCAGGCTGGTTTCAAACTGCTGACCTCAAGTGATCCACCCACCTTGGCCTCCCAAAATGCTGGGATTACATGGCCACCACACCTGGCCATCATTATATATCACGGTGTAATAATAATAAAAATAGGCCGGGCCTAATAGAAATAGTCTGGCTAACCTGATGAAACCCCATCTGTACTAAAAATACAAGAAAAGTAGCCGGGCGTGGTGACATGCGCCTGTATTCCCAGCTACTCAGGAGGCTGAGGTAGGAGAGCTGCTTGAACCCGGGAGGTGGAGATTGCAGTGAGCTGAGACCACGCCATTGCACTCCAGCCTGGGCGAAACTCCATCTCAAAAATAAATAAATACATAAATAAATTGAATGACTCACAAATCTAGAGATTAAGTGTTAATGCATCTCTTTATTTATTTTTTTTGAGATGGACTCTCTGTCACCCACCGCGCCTGGCGCTGTGTTAATGCATCTTAAAGATCTAAATCAGAAAGGGGGGCTTATAATTGACAAGATGTGCTGGGCATGGTGGCTCACGCCTGTAATCCCAACACTTTGGGAGGCCGAGGCAGGCGGATCACAAGGTCAGGAGATTGAGACCATCCTGGCTAACACAGTGAAACCCCGTCTCTGCTAAAAATACAAAAAATTAGCTGGGCATTGTGGTGTGCGCCTGCAGTCCCAGCTACTTGGGAGGCTGAGGCAGGAGGATGGTGTGAACACGGGAGGTGGAGTTTGCAGTGAGCCAAGATCACACCACGCACTCCAGCCTGGGCGACACAGGGAGACTCTGTTTCAAAAAAAAAAAAAAAAGATGTACATCAGAAGGGGGGCTTATAATTGACAATATGTGACAAATGCTACACCCCACACACAAATGCTTCATATTTATCTTTTGGAATGCACTGGATGATACATCCACCCTGCCCTTTGCTTCAGCAAATGGACCTTTCTAATTAGAAAAATAATTTTGTTTTTTGAGGTGGAGTCTGGCTCTGTCGCCCAGGCTAAAGTGTAGTGGCATGATCTCAGCTCACTGCAACTTCTGCCTCCCAGGTTCAAGCAATTCTCTGCCTCAGATTCCTGAGTAGATGGGATTACAGGTGCCTGCCACCACACCTGGCTAATTTTTTTTTGTATTTTTAGTAGAGACGGGGTTTCACTATCTTGGCCAGGCTGATTTTGAACTCCTGACCTCGTGATCCACCCACCTCAGCCTCCTAAAGTGCTGGGATTACAGGCATGAGCCACCGCATCCGGCCGAAGAAAACATTTTTTTGGTAACAAAAAATTGTTATAATACTCTAGCAGCCTTCTAACTCATGGGGATCCTAGTAGATAAAAGCTCTTTGGCCTGTTAGATATAAATGAATTTAAAGACTGTATCACAGGCTTGGACTGACCAAAGACTAAGGGACCAAGGCCACTTCAGTGGCGGTTTTTCAGTTCTGGAGAAGCCGTAACACTGACCCAAAAGAACTACTGGGTCACTTTGGCCAGAGACCATCGGCTCTGTCGCTTGCAGGGCCCCGTCTCTGAGCATTCACTCATTCTTGTTGGGGCTCAAGCATTAAAGGTCAGACCTGCCAGGACTGTGTGGCTAGGCCTGCTGGTGCTCGGGAGGCCCTGACAGTCTCCTGAATTGCTGCAGGCCCTTGTCTTTGACGTGGACACAAACAGTTCTTTCATCTTTTCAGAAGAACAGATGATTGGGATTCTTGTTTGGCTTTTGACAAACACAAACAGGAAATTCAGCCCTCTTAGGCTGGAGGGGAGGGAGTAGGTATATGCCAAACTGCAGACCAAATTTCATAGTAGCTGAACAAGAGTTTTATTTTTATTTTTAGAGACAAAATCTCACTCTGTCGCCTAGGCTGGATGCAGTGGCGCAATCTTGAATCTCCCCAATTCAAGCAATTATCTTGCCTCAGCCTCCTGAGTAGCTGCAGGCATGCGCCACCATGCCCAGCTAATTTTTGTATTTTTAGGAGAGATAGGGTTTCACTATGTTGGCCAGGCCGGTCTCGGACTCCTGACCTCAAGTGATCCTCCTGCCTCTGCCTCCCAAATTGCTGGGATTACAGGTATGAGCCACCTTGCTTGGCCAAAAAAAATTTTTTTTTCTTTTTTTTTTTTTCTTTCAGCTCTGTCGCCCAGGCTGGAGTGCAGTGGCATGATCTCGGCTCACTGCAACCTCCGCCTCCCAGGTTCAAATGATTCTGCTG